TATCCGAATTAATTTTTTCGAATTATTTGCTTTATTCAAATTAATATTAATATTAATTTCCTTATTCGAATTAATTTCCTTATTCGAATTAATTTCCTTATTCGAATTATTCGTTTTATTCGAATTAAAATTTATTCGGATAAACTTTCAATGTAATTCGAATAAGAAAATTCATAACAAATAAAGTGAATAAACCAAGTCCCATCTCTTCGCCAAACATGTGTTGGTCCATCATTACGAAATACAGTAAATCGAGATTCATCACTCCATATCACAGACTTCCATTTTGCAACACTCCAACTTCTTTTTCCTAAACACCAATTTAATCTTTTTATTCTTTGTTCATCAGATAAAAGAGGTTTTACTGCTGCGGTACGTTAATAAATTCCAAGATCATGAAGATTCTTTCAGATTGTTCTTGTAGAAACCTCAACACCACTTTTTTTAATAAATTTTCTTTGTATCTGATCCAGAGAACTGCGATTATTTTTATCAACGATTTTTTGTAAAGTTTTCTGGTTTTCTTTATTATTTAAAGATTTGGGTCTTCCACTCCTTGGTGCACTTTTCATATTGCCAGAATTAGAATAATGTGCTATAGTATATTGAACTGTGCTTTTAGGGATTTTAAGCATCTTAGATATCTCACGAATACTTTTACTGCTAGCACGAAGACCCAAAATTTTTCCTCGTTCTACTTTTGTCAACTCTACTATTTTTATCATTTTTTACGTAAACCTACATAGGGTTCAGAATTGGCCAGCATTATGTCGATATTTTGGTAATTCTGTTAACATTTCCGCATAATGCTGGTCAGTTTTAAACCCTGCGTAGGTTTACGTGAGATTTATTTTCCTGATGATTGCAGATCATCACTTTAGATCTCGTTGGCCTTTTATTTGATAAGGTACTACTAAACATAATAGAAAAGTAATGTTTTGCATAGATACTCTTCAAACCTAAGGGTTTAATATAATATAAATTTTACACATAATAATTATGTGAGTTTTTGAGGACTTTGATAAACAATTTTTTGTTCAAAAAATTTTCAATTGAAGTTCGTATTTTTTTATTTATTAAAGTTTCACATAAGCTGAAAAAATAAAGTTTTACATGAATATTCTTCAAAACCTAAGCTATAAAATGATATAAATTTTATGCGTGGGTATAATGTATGTTTTTGGGTAATTAATGTAAATAGGTGTCCAAATACTTTTTTCCGGGTAGTGTATACTGGAGGCCACCTTACATTATCACTTGATCACAAAAAATTCCGAATTCAATTCTTAGACCACTATAAATCATATAGAAATAAGGTGAGTTTCACCGGTTAGTCCTTTTATCTGCTTTGCGCAAACGAAAAATTCAAACAAATCAATAAAATTATACTTATCAATAAATCCAAACTGTTAAATGGGTATCAACCTGCACAATAAAGAAATAGGTATGATGTGATATACACATTGGCCATATTATTTCTTCACCCACATATACTTTTTTCCTGTTTGTAGATGATCCCGATTAATTTTTCAGAGGTTTTTCAATTCTTAATAATTCTTAATAATCACTAGTACATATCTCATTGGCACAGTATGAGTCATGACTCACCTGATTTGGTGTGTTGCGGATTTAACTAATTAATTTCACGATCTCTGGAAAAATAAAATTTTGTGTGACACCCAGAGGGTCTACGCTACTGTGAAGAATGTTCACGAATATTGTGCACATACTCCCAATAATACCCTCCAGCATGAGCTCGAAGCCTCAACATACTGAACTAATACCTTGGCTTTTAACCCCAGTTATGCGTTGTGCTTCAGCCAAAGATGGAAATTCTTGAGTAGTACCATCGCCAAAAACCTGCTTGACAGCACGTTGATGCATCCAGTGCCTGAGAGTTCTCTTTTGATGTACACCATTCAGATTAGACGCTTCGTTGTTGGTAGAATTCCCATCAATATAATTCACATGTTCCTTGCCTTCCTCTTTTAGGCAAAATGGATTTTCTTTTCTTCTTTTTTCCTTACTAGTTGCATAACCTTTTGTTACTTTAAACTTCCATGCTCAAAACACCTCTTCAAAGACTATTTTTCTTCAAAAGAAAATATTATCTTTTTCACCTAAAAGAAAGTATGTACAATAATAATACAAGTGTATATAATGTATATAATTAGAAGTTACTACCCAAAAGAAGTCTTTTTATATATTAAACCAAGGTGTATATAGCAGTTGTGTCGAAAAAAATTTTTTGTAAACAATGTGACAGAAGAAAATTATAACAGAAAAAAAATAATTTACGAAAAAATTTAATTCAAAAATGATGCAAAAATGAATAAATTTTTATATTTTTTTTTCTTTATAAATACAACTTTTGTACCAAAAAAATTTCCTTGAGGGAGTGATCAATTATCAATTATCAATTATTACACAGTGCAACCATTTTCGCGAAACATCAAAACCCTTTTTTATTAAAAAAACAGACTCTGTATCAAAATTTCATTTAAAAAAAATAAAAAATTCAACCAAAAAATGTTAATTGACATTGTACCGGTTTAATTTTGTTGTTTTCTCATGTTAATAAAAAATTCAACCAAAAATGTTAATTGACGTTGTACTGGTTTAATTTTGTTGTTTTCTTATAAATAAGAAAAACAATCATAAAAACTTGGTAACAAACATGTGGCATATTTTAGTTAAATTTAAGTGTGTTAGTTGATATTAAAAATAAGTGTAAAAAAAATTAAAAATTGAATTCTTAAAAAATTAATGATCATCACTTTATGAAATGTACTTAAAATGAGTGACTAGAAAAGGACAGGGGACAGCCATTAGCCACAATTACCTGTACCCTGTCCTTTTCTTGTGACCCACTTAAAATACATGTCAAAACATACTTAAAACATACCTCTATAAGAGAAATAAGTAGAAAATAAATAAAAAATAAGTATTTAAACTTTGCATAGGGATATGTGATTAGGTTAATAACATACTTAACCCAGTATTGTCATAGAATTTTTCACTAATATTTTTGAATTATAATAAATCATGTGCATGTGAAAATTTTTATGGTAATGATAACTTGCAATCTTTTACATTAATAGTTAATGTTAAATGTGAACAAAATTATTTGTGCATTATCCTTGTCAATAAAGTATTCTGTTATTGGTTAATTTTTTTTAACAATAAATTAATGTTTGTTCATTATCCTCTTTTTTTTACTGATGAAGAAATTATCAGAGCAGTGGAGCCAAATCCTGAGGTTGACGATTCTGATGAAAAGGAAGAAGTGGAAATGATGATTATTTCTGATAAAGAGGCATTAAATAGTTTAGAAAAAGTGATTCAATATTTTAAAAAATCCACCATATAATTTTACAATTAGCTATCAAGAATTAAAAATGATTAATAACTTCAAAAATTCATAAATGTGTTCAGGATAATACAAAACAACTTATGTTAATTTATAATTATTTACATGAATTTATTTGTCACAATAAAAAATTGATCTCGTTATAAGGGACTTTTATAAAAAGTCCACTATAAAGAGATTTTTCTTTAAGTGGAAATTCGTTATAGTGGACAAAAATGCCACTGTAATAAACATTCATTCACAGAACCTTCACTTTGACCATACTAAGAGGGTTTATTCCAATGGAAATCATAAGTTGCCTGGAAGAAAACTAAATACCAACAAATCAGGCAACGAGAAAAATTAATAGTAACTAGGAGAAAGATGCACAGGCATAGACGCAGTAAGTTCTGGAACTGGGTTATTATTATTTGCAAATAATTTTTAAATACTTTTATTTTCCAGTTTTAAATTACAAAAAATTTATTAATATATTTAATAATATTAATAAAAACTATTAAGAGATATTATATATTGATTTAATTATTTAATTTCCTTTCTCAAAATCTACATATAAATAATAATAAATAATAATTTACATATACAAATATTAGATCTATTTTTTTCATGAAGGAATTTGTTCAACAAATTTACTTGTTCCTGTTATATTAGCAGAATCTAACGGTAATGATAATCTACTGACAACATTTCTTATAGAATTTATTATACTTGAGGCTCTTGAAGAACTTAGAGATAGAGATCTATTACTAGTTTGTCTTTCATGTGAATTACCAGTTTCTTTTTGTTGTCTCTCTTCAAGTGAATCAGTATCTGGTAATTCGAATTTTTGCATACATTTTGATCTACGCCTTGCCACAATTAAAATAATTATACTTGCTGCTATAGCAGCTGCAATTACGCCGCCTATTATTGGCCCTAATATTTTACTATTTAAAGGGTCATTTTCATATTTTGTCGTCGATGTGGTTTCTGTTTCTTTGGTTGGACCACCATCACTAGTGCCATTACCAGATTCATCTGTGGTGGTTGTAGCCGTAGGCACGTATGTCGTGAACATTGTTGATGAAGCATTAGGATCAGATGGTGGTAGTGGCGGCCCTGGATTCTTTGGATTATTCGGATCCGGTGGATTGTTTGGATTATTTGGATCCGGTGGATTTGGATTATTTGGATTTGGTGGATTTGGATTATTTGGATTTGGTGGATTTGGATTATTTGGATTCGGTGGATTTGGATTATTTGGATTCGGTGGATTTGGATTATTTGGATTCGGTGGATTTGGATTATTTGGATTCGGTGG